AGGACATGGAGCACACCAGGGTGTGGGCATCACAGAACACACACAGGGCTGGCAGACACACAGCCAGCACAAGCACAATACTCACAAAGAACATGGATAGGGTCCTCCGGTTGTGTAGTCGCCGCTGGACCCGGGTAGAGTGGGGATGAGGGGAGGGAGAGACAGAGACAAAGTGAGACCTAGCAACAGGAGGTGCTGGTGGGAAGTGAGGGTACACAGACTGTGGACAAAAGGGTCGTGGTGAGGGGGTGGGGCATCTGGCATACAGGCACACTGTTTCCTTCTGCAATAGGACAAGGATAAGGACAGGGATCAGATGCTTAAGACATGCTTGGGGAGGATCTCACCAGGGTCTGATTGGCAGAGAGTAGGGTGGCTCCACTGTCATCCCCTCGGATAGGCAGCAAGGGCATGGTGCCAAACTTCTGACGAGCAAGGTCAGAGGAGGAACGACGACGTAAAACCACTGACTGCTGGTCATCATGCTGGGGAGACAGTGAGCTGTTGGCACTGGTGGGCCTAGGTGGCTCTGGGGGATGTGGCTGGACCCCAGAGGCACCGGAAGCCCAGCCTTCAGCCTCTTCCTTCTCCTCACCTGGGCTTTAAGGATGCTTGTGGTCCAGTCCCACATCTCCTCCTCATCCGTACAGGACAGACAGCTGTGGGTGAACAGAGTGATTCAGGAAACTGAAGGAGTTGTAGCAGCGAGCATGGAGGAATGGAAGAATGGAGGAGACGGCAGAGGAAGAGGACAGGGCAGAGCTAGGGAGAGATCTCGGTATGAAGTGCTTGCCATACAAGCATAAGGATCGGAGTTGGATCCTCAACACTTGTGTCAGAAAAGGGGACACTAGAGAGATGGTGCAGTGGTTAAGAGCACTGGTTTCTCTTCTAGAGGACCTGGGTTCAACTCCCATCACCCACATGGTGGCTCATACCATCTATAATCCCAGTTTCAGGCAATCTGAGGCCTCTGTGGGCACCAGGCCTACACATAGTACACAGACACAAATTCAGGCAAAACAACCTATACACATGATTTTTTTTTTTAATTAAAAAGGAAAAGCTGATGCTGGCATGGTGGCTAATGCCTGTTGTCCCAGTGCTGAGGAGGTGGAGACAGACAGCTCTCTCAGACTTAACGGCCACCCAACCTAATCTAATTGGCAAACCCCAGGACCTAGAGAGTGACACCTAAAGTTGACCTCTGAACTCCACATGCATGAGCACATGCACACAAGATCAGATGGTCAGACAGATGGACAGACAAGGAGCAGGGTAGAGGCAGAGAAGAAGTTAACTAAGAGATACTCACAGATGCATCTTTTCCAGTATCAAAGTGAAACCCCACCTGAAAGGCAAAGGGGACCAGTAATTAGAGTAACTAAAAGCCAGAGAGGTGACAGCAAGAAAGCCATAGATCAGGACCAGGGAGGAAAACTCACAGTGTCGGAGGTTTCAACTTCTTGCGGATTCCCAGGTAGACCTTGGCCCCTTCCAGAGACCACTCCCGTTCTGGCTTAGAGCTCTGAGAACATGAACAGAGACAGTAAGACTGAGATATACAAGAACACCATGGTTAGGAAAATCGAGAGGGCGTGGGTGTACTGGGCACATGATCATAGAATAAGTCACCGTCAGGGGAACAATGAGATTGGTGAGGGTATGGGCTGTGGGGTCAGAGGCTGTGGGGTCAGGGGCTGTGGGGTCAGGGGCTATGGGGTCAGGGGCTGTGGGGTCAGGGGTTGGTACAGTTATGACTCCTGATGGCTGACTAGCCACCCAGCATCCCACCTCCCCTAGCCCCAGGGCATCACCTTCTTCTCCTTGAGTAGCAGCAGGCATCGGCCACGCACCAAAAAGAACCTCTCCTGGAAACGGCTTCCCAGTAAGCGAGGTGGCTCCTCACGACACCGAAGCAGCCCCACCCGTGGGCTCTCACGCCGGACTCCTGGATACAGAAGAGCAATGCTGGGTGGGAACTCTCAGGAGAGGGGCCTAGGGAATGCTGGGCTGAGGGAGGAGGCTCACCTGTGAAGAGGCAGCCAGCGTGTGCCATAGAGACTTTTCTCAGGAGCAGAGAGGCTGAGCAGGGCTCTGGAAGCTGGCACCATTGCAAGGCCTGCTCTAGAACCTTTTCTTTGGGATGCAATGGCCTCTCTGAAGGGAAATGTTGAGGCAGGCAATAATCACAAAAACTAGCCAAAGCCTGGAGGCCCCATCTCACCTCCCACTAGTTCATTCATTCATTCATTCATTCATTCATTCATTCATATACCGATCTAAACACAGCCCCTGATGCTATGCCAGGTACCATGCTGTCCCTGGGATACATCGGTGAGAATGATACAAAAGCCTGCTACAGCCTAATGAAGGAGCCAACAGTAGACAGACAGTTAAGCAAAGCAGTAAAACAGACCAGTAATGATTTAAACTGAAGATATATATTTTAAGTGTGTATGTGTGCATGGTGTGTGTGTGTGTGTGTGTGTGTGTATGTGTGTGTGTGTGTGTGTGTGTTTTCCTGGGAGCTAGAGTTATAAGCAGTTTGTGTGTGTGCATGTGTGTGTGTGAAGAGAGAGAGAGCATGTGTGTGCACATGCACACACGTGTGTGTGTGTAGAGAGCATGTGTGTGCACGTGCATGCATGTGTATGTGTGTGTATGTGGTGTTTTCCTAGAAGCTAGAGTTACAGGCAGTGTGTAAGCCACCCTGTATGTGGACTTAGAACCGATTTCTGACAGTTCAGTAGGCACTCTCAACCACTGGGCCACTTCTCTAGCCCCCAAGAATCACTTTGAAATAAATAATAGTTAAGAGACACATGGAGAAACAAGGGCACAAAGAACAAAGCAGGTGAGCAAGTGAGGAAGTTAGTCAGACAAGGCCTGTTAGAAGCTGCATTGTAGAAGAGACTCATCGATCTATTTGAAAGGTCAGGCAGAGCAAACTACCTGAGATCTTTTTTGTTGATTTTTTAAATTTGGTTTTGAGATGTTTCTTTGTTTTGAGACATTGTCTCACTGTAGCTCTGGTTGGCCTGGAACTCTATATAGAGCACACTGTCCTCCAATTGCCTCTGCCTCCCCACTGCGGGGATTACAGGTGTGTACCACCATAGCTCCAGGTAGGATCTTATAGGATAAAAAATGTAAGAACAGATGCCAGGAGTCAAGAAGTTGTTCTTGGGGGATCTAAACAGGAAGTGTGGCCAGACTCGGGATGTATACAACCTAGTGGTGCATGCTTGCCTTTCATTCTCAAACACATATGTTCAGTCCTCAGCATGGTGGAGAGAGGGTACACTGTGCTCTGGTAAAGAGACAGGTCAGAGAACGGCTGATGTGAGAGGATGTCTGAGAGACAAGCAACACCCACACAGTCAAGGATTTGCAGGCCATGAGGAGGGCTTTGAGCTTTGTTCTAAATTTATTAGGGACCCATCAGAAGGTTTTAACCATAGCAACGGCGTGATCTGGTTTATGCTTGAAATGTTCATCTAGCTGCTCTTCAGAAACTAGATTGTAGAGAGGCAAGAACGGAACCCCATCCAACTGTCTCCTGTCTGGAACCATGCATTTCAGTGGTTCGTATTGGGAGGCAGAAAGACAAGGGTGGCCATGAGGAGGATGGGGAAATGACAGAGATGGAGAAGACTGATAGACATGAGGGCTGTCAATATGACTAATTAATAAGGGCTATCAACACGACTAATTAATTAGTGGGCTGAGTATGAAGATGAAGAGCGGTGGGCATAGGGTTTCTGGACTGAACAACTGAGTGAAACATGGTACTATTTGCTGAAAAAGAAAAACCAGAAAATAGTCTGAGCTTTATATTGGGGGAGGGGCCTAGGAAGAAAGGAAATGTCAGACTTATGTACTGAAATGCCTGTGAGGAGAGGAAGTGTCTAGTAGGCAACTGGATATGTAAGTCTAGAGTACAGAGGAGAGATCTGAACCAGAGATAAACATTTGGGCAGTCAGCCAGGCATGCTAGTGTATACCTGTCATCCCAGCACTTAGGGGGAAAGAAGCAGGGGGCTTTCCAGAAGTTCAAGGCCAGCCTGATCTACATAGTAAATTTCCATCCCACTGGAATGAACTTGGATGTCCATTACAGTTGCTAAGAGAGAAGTCACTGATGACCTTGGTCATGTGTCCACACACACAAATGTGTGATCATACTCACCAAGTTCTCCGTGTTCAAGGATTTCAAATGTCACCCACAAGTCTGTCCCTGATGCCGCCCCTCGCATCTCCAGCACCTGGTTAGTCAGCTCCTCAGCAGTCAGTGTTGGGGATACCTAGCATACAGACAAGAGGTCCCACACTCACTAGGGCCTTGCTCCTGCTCTCCTCCCTGCCCCCAGATCCCTTAACACTGACCTTTAAGGTGACACAATTGTCTGGGAGCTGCTGTTCTATGTAAACCTCCATGATGAGGTCTCCAGCCTGGGACAACTGAAGGCAGATCAAGGAGGACAGGAAAATTACAAAAATACCAAGATGGAGGAATGCCTCCTAGGAACCTCCCCCAACAAAGTGCTCCTTCCAGCCCCCACTACCAACATGGCTTAGGCCTTGAAAAGAATTCCAAGATGAAGAGAGCTGCATATTTAGCTGCATTTGGTGCCGCCCCAGACAGTGCAATACAGCAGCTTCAAGAAGAGGTTTGCAGTCAGGATTCTCTGGGTCCCTTCTCTACCACTTCTACTGTGACCTACTAGGAATAAATAATTCAAAAGCCTCAATTCTTTATTTGGAGAAAAAGTGAGACTACCAACTTTATGGAATCGTGTGGTGCTTAAATAAGGTTAGAGGTGCTGGAACATAGGATGTCCTCAGCAGTACTTGCTATTGTTTTTTTTATACAATATTCTTCCTGCCCCACCCAGAATCCCCCAAGGCCTCATACTGGCCTGGAACTTTGAGACAGGGTCACATATAAACCCAGTCTGGCCCAGTTTGTTATGTATCTGAGGACGACCTTACATTTTTTAAACATTATTTATTTTTATTTTTTGCGTGTCATCCTTGCGCAGGGGCCATGCTAATCTTCTCTGTATCGTTCCAATTTTAGTATATGTGCTGCCGAAGCGAGCACTTATTTTTATTTTTTACGTAGATTGATGTTTTTGCCTGCATGTGTATCTGGGACTGGAGTTATGAACAGTCATGCACTGCCATGTGAGTGCTGGGAATTGAACCCAGATCCTCCGGAAGAGCAGCTAGTGCTCTTAACCACTGAACCACCTTTCCAACCCTGACCTTAAACTTTTGATGAGACTCTGAGTCCGCAGGGGTGGGGCAGAGGGGTTGTATGGCAGGATCAGGGAAGCCTTACATCAAAGACAGAGATGTAGCCATCGATGAGTTCCTGCAGTACCCAAACCTCATGCTCTCCCCGCCCATCTGTCTGGAACACACTAGGTGCAAATAGTAGGGCCAGGTTCCGAGTGCACATCTGGTTTAGAGCCGCACACTTCTGCACCCTGCTTCTTCCTGCTTCTGCCTTCAAAGTGCTGAGATTACAGGCATGTGCCACCACCATGCCAGGTTTTTGTGTGGTTCTGGGAATCCCTCTAAGGGCTTCATGCATGCTAGGCAAGAACTAAGCCAAGCTCCGTTTCCATCCTTGGCCTGCAGAACTCTACATGGCTGAACTCTTGATCTACACACCTGGCTTTCCTGAGATCTCCTATACTTATGGGGTACTGGGTGTGTATCTCAGTGATGGAATGCTTGCCTAGGCTGTGTGAGGCCCCGAGTTTAATACTCGGTATCACTGAGAAAGGGATGAACTGAAGAATCCCCATAGTGGAATAAATAGAACAAACACACTACCCAACACACTTCCCTCCTGGGGATTCCCCTGTCCACCAAAGAGCCAAGGGTCAATGTGCAGGAAGACAAGCTGAAAGGAAGCTTCCTTTAGTGGACAGAAGATGCATTTCCTATGGTGATGTCCCTCCAGCCCCACTCAGCAGTCTAACATTAGGGCATGTTACCTGCACATCCTTCCAGGTGGTAATGAGACTGACCTCCAAGTCAATCTGAGCTGCCTGGTCTGAGTCAATCTGCAAAAGGACCAGAAGTATTTCAGGGGCTGCTAGGAAAGGAGAGAAGCAGGGCAGATATCAAGGTCAAAGGGGAACTGGATAAGAGGGCTGGAAGCCTGAAGAGCCAGGAATCAATAACGAGAGGATGTTGGGGTTAAGGTTGTTAGAGAAGGAAGCCCAGGACTCTGGGAGGAAGTTACCAATGCGGGTATAGACTAGGGCTTTGGTGATGAGACTCTGAGTCCGCGAGGGTGGGGCAGAGGGGTTGTATGGCAGGATCAGGGAAGCCTTACATCAAAGACAGAGATGTAGCCATCGATGAGTTCCTGCAGTACCCGAACCTCATGCTCTCCCCGCCCATCTGTCTGGAACACACTAGGTGCAAATAGTAGGGCCAGGTTCCGAGTACACATCTGGTTTAGAGCCGCACACTTCTGCACCCTGCAGAGAGAGACACCAGAGTCGTGAGTCCAGCTCATACTCACCACTTCACAAACTCATCCATCAATTTGGAAGACCTTTACTGCACCTCTACTGTATGCCAAGTGCTAGGCTAAGTATGGGGCATTTGTCAGTGGATTAGACAGTATTGGCCCTAAGAAGCTTTGAATATCTTGGACACAGTTAAGATATGGGTAATCATTACCCATAGGTAGTTTTTATATAAAGGATAGTCAATAAATATTTTAGAACCTCAGGCCATATACTCTCTTGTAACTTCAGAGCTCAGCTGCTGTACTGCAAAAGAAGCCATATGACACATATAAATGAATAAGTGTGACTTTACACCTTACAGGCTTTTATTTGGAAACCCAAGCAAGGAACTAGATTTGGTGATAATAGTCCTGTATTTGGCAATCCTCTGTAATATTCTATAAGCAATGCAACATAATCAGGGATGCACCCCACATCATAAACCCTTTCTCCTAATAGACTAAAGGTGAGCCTGCATCTTAATAATCTTTATTTTTTAGAACTAATTCCTTACTTGGCACAGACTAATAAAAATAACAGTTATGTTGATTTCTAATCATTTCTGAAGTTTATAACATGCCATGTGCTATACTAAGGATTTCACGTGGATTATTTCATTTTACTTTCCTACAACCTATCAGGTAGAAACTTCCTTACATCACCATCCTTTTAAAAGCAAGCAGATCAGGCTAAAGTCACATGGCTAGTTGAGAGAGATTAATTGCCAGATTAAAACCTAAGTCTACATAGTCCCCAAACCCATTCTCTGAACCTTTAGCTGCAATACCCTCACATAACAGCTCTAAGTGACATTAATTAATGAAGTTGTGCCATTGGCTTGAAGTGATGAAGGAAAGGAGGCTAAGAAGGACTGACTATACTGACCGATACAGATGCCCAATGAGGGTGGCCAGTGTTCGGCGGTTGACTCTAGGCAGGCAGCCAATCACCTCTTTGTACTTCTCCAGGCGCTGATTCTTCTGGGGAAGCTCTGGGCACAGAGGAGGAGAGTAGGAGAGGGCAGGGATATTCTGAGACACAAACCCAGGATGGATGGATCTCTTTCTGCCTTCTACCTCCCCGTGAAGGTCAGTTTTTGTCAACTTGACACAAAATTAGTCACCAGGGAAGAGAGAATCTCGGCTGAGGAATTGTCTCCATCTGATTGGTCAGTGGAAACGTCTGTTGGGGCATTTTCTTGATTGATGATTGATGTGGGAGGGGCCTAGTGCACTGTGGGTGGTGCCATCTATGAGCAGATATAAGAAGACTGAGCAGCAATGGGGAGCAAGCCAGTAAGCAGTTCTTCATGGTTCCTGCTTGAGTTTCTGCCCTGGCCTTTCTCAGTGATAGATTCCGATGCGGAAATGTTGAGCTAACTAAATCCTTTCCTCTCAAAGTTGCTTTTGGTCATGATGTTCATCATACAATAGGAAGCAAACTACAACATTCCCCAAGCCAAGTTTCTGGGTAATCACCAGGATGAGGAATGTTGGGAAAGGGTCTCCCCAGTTCCACAAGAGAACTTTGTGGATACTGACAGAGGAAGATGAGATTCTGGATGAGTCTTGGAAGTACCTGCAGCTTCTCTCCATCGAGGCAGCAACCTAGCAGAGGTCACTGGGTCATCAAGTTCTCGAAAGAAGCGTTTGAGTGTGTCAGTGACATCTTCTACAAAGTGTTCCCGTGGTCTAAGCTTCACTGACCGGGCATCCCGCCTAAACTCAGCCAAGAGTCGCAGGCTGCGGGCCCGAGCACCTCCTTTCCGATATACACCTTCCAGCCGGAGCCCTGAAAACAGTCAGCAGTCTCTGTTCAATATCAAGTGAAGACAGTACCTCACCCACCCAGCAGCCCCTTTAGGACCCTTCCCATATATGTGACTATTAACAGAATCCATGGATGCTTATGTTTCTTATATAAAGTGATATATTATATATAACCCTACATATATCAACTCTGGATTACTTATACCTAACACCATGTAAAGAATGAGAAAAGAGTATACATGGTCACTACAATATTTTTCATATTTTCTATCTTTAATTGGTTGAATATACAGATGTAAAAACTGTGGCTACAGAGGGCAATATGTACTTCTGGTGCCTCCACAGTAACTTGTGAACATATACAGAAAAACCTCAGTTCTTTCCCTTACACATGCTCCTAGCTAAGGGTTTGGGTTATAAGCAAATGCCTTTTGGGGGTGTTTGTTTGTTTGTCTGTCTGTTTGTTTTTGAGGAACTACGGATGGAAACCAGGGCTTCACACATACTAGGCAGATCTCAGCCTTGAGTTGAGAGTCAATGACTCAGTCATATACCTTACATATACTGCCTTTAGATGACAAAACATACCAAGCAAGGTTTTTGTTGTTTGTGGTGGTGTTTTTTGCTTTTTTTTCCCTTTTGGATTGGTTGGTAAAAAATCGTGTGCCCAGAAGTTCAGGGGACTCTAATCCTGTCTCTCCCTTGGGAGAGATACTGAGATTCTGTATTCAGCAATTAAGTGTTTGCAGTGGCTTTTTAGACCATAACTCCTGCAAATAACGAGAGCTGATGATGTTTGTTTTCTTAATACCCATCTTCCCAGTAGTATGTGAGCCTCTCAGGATCTTCCTTGTTCACTGCCACCTCCTGACAGCCACATGCTAGCACCTGAACCAATACCTATCAAGTGAGTGTGGTAACACAAAGACTTTGGAAGGAAAGCTGTGTTCATTCTAGGACCTTCTCTTAAAACCTCAGACTGAATTCCTCAAATAAACGCTAGGGAAGCTAAAAAAATGACAAAGCTGGGGGGGAGGGGGATGTCGTTAGGTACTGACTATCCACCGCCCATAACTGACAAAATACAACTCTTTGTATGGTTATAAAGGTATCTTTTTTTTTTCCCAATATTGAGGATTAAACCCAGGGCTTCTTACATGCCAGGTAAACACCCTACCCATAATTGATGTGTGTGTGTGGTGGGGTGCTGAGACAGGATTTCTCTGTGTAGCTTTTGGCTATCCCGGAACTATCTGTAGACCACGTTGCCCTGCCTTCCCAATGCTGGGATCAGAGGCATGTGCCACCACCACATGGCACAGGTGAGATAAGGTCTCACTAAGTTGCCTATGCTGGCCTTGAACTGAGAATCCTTCCACCTGGAATGACCAAGAAGTGGTGATCTCAAGCCCATATCCGCAGACCTTGTTGTTTTGTTTTGGTTTTTCAGTTGGTTTGGGTGCTGGGAATTGAACCCAGGACCTATAAGCTCCTTGGTTTTCCATGAGTTTTCTTTTTCAATATCTAGCCTTCTAAAAAGAATTCATGGGGAATGTAGATTCATTGGGCCCGGCTCCACAAGGAATTCAGCAGGCCGCTTGCAGTCGCTGACCCTTTAGTCCTAGACACCCTCTGCTCCATTCAATCATTCTATCCAGACCTTCAGGGATCTGCCCCTAGGCGTCTCCTCCCAGCCTACCACATGGTTGATTCCTCACATATCTCGTGTTCCTCTCACCCTCTATGCCAGTGTCACCTCTGAGCAGGGACAGCCTACCAGACCCTGTACTCTTTGTTTGACA